GAATGGTCTGCGTACATGTACCCATATTGTAAAAAGTGTTTGATTTTGGTATGATAGCAGACATATCATAAATTCGACATATATTTCAACACATTTCGCTTTTAAATTTGTGTTTGTGATTGCATTTGTGTAGGTTTTGGTAGAGTTCCATTGGCAGGAGCTGAACTCTTTTCATCATAATTGCTTTGGGTTGCATTCACTTTCCCCAAAATTTAAATACATACTAAATGCAGAATATAGCTACGTCGTGCCAATTTATTTTGAAAGCGGCCCAAGTGGGTGTGCGTATGGCCACTTTAAATTTTATTCCGAAAATGGCTGTTTACGCCTTCTTCCTGCTGGAATAGCACGACAGATGCCCAAGCGCTGCATAAGGCTCGTTATGGAGCTTCCCACTTTCAACATATTTATTATCATTCTTTGAGCCTAATTTATAAGTGATTAAGATAGACGCCGCTTAAAGATAAAGACGTGAGGGTGATTTATTAGAGCTTGGACAACACGGGCCGTCGTGTTCATCATCTACTGTCACCATTAACGTTCAGTAAATCCATTTACTAGACATAAATTTATTTACTAAACGTTAGTAGGGGCTAATCCGAAATGAAGATGCGCGCAGAAGTCAACCGGTTTTTATGTGGTTACAGATCTCCCTCGTTATCTTACGGCAGATTTAATTAGTTTAATTATTATGGATGGAATTTTTCATGTGCGCTTCAGCGCAGAGGTCGAAAAAAAAATGTGTTTTGCAATATAATTTTTTATAATTGATAGTTGACTTTGACAATTCAATTTGTGTTGGGCCAATTATTGACAGTTAACCCTTTAGCTACCGGACGGATTTGCCCTTCGTAGAGGTCCGGATAGACCTCTACCATAAAATTTCTAAGCCGCAATTGGGTATAATAGATCAAATGATTTGCAAATGTTGACGTAATATGGTAGGGGTCCATATGGACCTCTTCCGCATAATTTTCCCACAAATGTTTGCAAATTATAAGCGAAACATATGACGATTTGTATTGATTTCTGGTAGAGGTCTTATTAAATGGCTCGGTAGCTAAAGGGTTAAAAGGCCAGATGTTTCTTGGTAGGATATGTCTTATCGCTTCGAAATAGCATCACCAATTAAATCATTTCCGTCACCATCTCCACGCCAACATGAAACCGATGTCTAGTAAGCTACGATACGTGAGACACAAATCAAACTTCACCTCGTTTTCGGGCTACGATTGACCTCAACAGGTCACTTGGCCAAGGGATTATTCCCTGCAGTACTTGCGGTAGTGAGTGGAAACAAGCTGGAGGGACAGTGTACGAGCTTACTAACGTCAAGCGGCAGAAAATAATTAAAAAATCGAGTCTACCTGACAAGCTGGAGTAAAGTTTAAAAAAACTGGAGAAGAAAGCAGCTGAATTGACCTGGTGCCAGCCTTTCTTGGGGGATCTCCAAGATAACACGGACTTAGAGAATTACACTTCAGAATTTTGAAGATGGCCCGACTTATATGTTACAGATAGAATAGTGAAATAAGTACTTCTGGTTTTAAAACAAAAGTTACGGTATTAATTTTGAGCCCGGTTCTGGGCTGTAAGTGTCCTTCGTACAATAAACTTATTATCAGTGACTCTTTGAGTCGAACGTCTTTCTTTGACGCTAAAGCCACGGCGGCCCCGCTGCACTTGGTAGCACTTGTGGTAAATCCCGCCCCTGAGTCGGTTGACTATATCTTTTGCGAGGATGGAACACCCCGTGTTTGCGAATTTCCCCCCGGCGCAACAGGCCGCGCTTAGAAAGCTTATGTTCATGCTGGGCCCGGAGGGCGTGGTTCATCTTGCGTTGCAAGGTCCAGAGGGGTCATCGCCAGTCTAAAATCGTTCTCTTCAGCTACGAGAACGCGCTGTTGGAGCATCTCCAAGAGAAGATGAGAGCCGCAACGGAGGCGCCGTCGCTGACGCGTGAGGTGCCAATGAGACTGAAGTCGTATATGGTGAGCGTGAAAACCTTCAAAGGGAAGGCTGGAGAATAAGTTCTTCGCTGGACCCGTCAAAATGGCTATGGGATCCGCCCTGCTCCAGTCTGAGCATCAGCGCTTGCCGCTGATAATCTCAAGGCTTGGAGACCGCGCTTGCAAATGGGCACTAACGTGCAGCAAGTCGGACGGCGCCGCACTTTCCACCTGATCAGCTGAAGCAACAGCTTTCGCGCGTGCTCGCACCGCCTAATAAGGCGTACCGTATTCGGTCGAAGCTCCTTGCTACCCGGCAGGTAAGAAGGTGTTATTGGACTATGATGCTGGAACGTCGGCACGACGAAACCTTTGAGGCTTTAAAGGAGAGTCTCTTCCAGGCTCCAGTCCTTGCTCTACCGAGCCCGGATCGCCCGTTTAGCGTCGTCAGTGATGCCTTTGATTTTGCAATCGGTTGTGCTTTCCTACAAGCAGACGCCGAAGGGCGTGAGCGGGTGATTGCGTTTGAGTCTCTCGAGCTCAAAGTAGCAGAGATGAACTATCCAGTTCATGACAAAGACCTACTTACAATGAAGTATGATCTAGTCAAGTTCAGGCTACACCTGCAAGGCTCTAAGCCTTTCATGATCTTTACAGATGATGCGTCGCTACACACTGCAACACAGTCGCCTCATCCCACTCAGAGAATGCCACGACAGCTTCTTTCTTTGCCGAATTCAACTTCGAGGTGAAGTACGAGCCGGGGCGGCTGTCCGATGCTCTTGCGCAGACGGAGCTACGAATAAGCCCATATCACGACAGTGACGTCGTCAGTGCCTGACGTGATACTCGGAGCGTATGCACAGGACGGCATGTGCGTAGCGCTGCTATGAGCTCTTGGGAACGATCGTTAAAAGACTCTGACAAGGAATTGTATGGGCGCTTACGCGCGAGGCAGCATCGATACTCACGCGATGACGGCCTAATGTACTACAGTACCGACTCTGAGGATGACCCCGTGTAGTCGTTCGGCATTGTTAAGGATCTGAAGTATCGAATCCTCTATGACGTTCCTGATACGCCCGCGGGCGGGCACATAGGTCGGGAGAAGACCTATGGTTCGGTGAGCTCGATATACTGGTGGTCCAATATGTATAAGTGTATGTACGCACGTGTGAGACGTGTCAACAAAAGAAGTCCACGCCGAGTACGGCAGCGCCGTTGGCAATTTTTCCTGTCTCCAGGGATGTTGGCAATCCATGAGTATGGCCTTTAAGTTTGGCCTTTCCAAGAATAAGGCTGGAAACACGGGTAGTGTGGGCTTTGTAGACGGATTGAGAAAGATGTGGCGGTGCCGGACGCCATGGTGAGGGTACAGCTTTGCTGTTTTTAGACCGAGTCTTTCGCCAACATGACTTACCTGAGACAATTGTCTCAGATCCAGACCCGCGCTTCACCACGAAGTTCTGGACGTCCGCTTTGGGGTGCTCGGCACTTGTTTGAACATGTCTACAGCGGATCATCCGTACACCGACGGTCCAACCGAACGCGTGAGTCGCGTTGGGGGGGGATATCCTCCGAAGCGTATGCGCTGAGGCACCAAAACGCTGGAGCCAGATGCCCCCACACGTTGTGTCTGCATTAAATATTACTGTGAACGCCTCGACAGGCTACACTCCGCTCTATGCGAACTGCTTGATAGGCCATCGCGTCCCACTGACGCCGCCACGCAGTGGCTCAGGGTTGGATGGGGGAGGAATAGCCGAGCGGCTAGCTGAAGTCAGCCCTGTTGCGAATAGCAGGCAAGTTGATGAATGTGTCTCTTTAAGCCTGAGCGTAATGCGTCAAGTGCGCGACACTATGATTGAAAGCTAAGACACGCAGAAGGAGCGTGCAGATGGCAACGACAGAAGCAATGTTGAGAGGTTTGAGGACGGTGACCACGGTTTTTTAATCGCGAAAAACGTACCAATTCATGCAGAATTTGCAGTCTATTAGACGAAACTGAGACCTCGGTTCATAGGACCGTTTAAGGTCGTGGCCAGGAAGGGCCTAGCGTATACGCTCAACCCTCCGAAGAAGATGCGCACGTATGCAGGCTTCTATGCTGGCCTGCTTTAACCATATTAAGCCCCTGCTTAGGTGAGCGAGGAGGCGTTTTCACCATCGGTGGCTGGCCCACGGACAGTTGCAGGGCATCAGGTGGTAAAACCATGGGAGGCTGGACGACAGCAAGTGGGGAGCCCACAGCAGGCTGGTCAGCAGCAGGTGGCATAGCCACAGGTCGCAGAGGGAAGTGCTCGAGATAGAGGCGCAAGTCAAGCTAAGCGCTCAGCTGAGCGACTGTTACGCTCAAGGTCCGAGGCCTGGTTGTGAGTCAGCTGTGGTGACCTCAACCTATCCAAAAGGTGGATCATCTCTTCGAGATCGATGTATGGGCAGTAAACGTGGACGTTCGTGTCGTGAACGCAGACGCCATTCATGCAAGTGCTGACTCTCCCCGCGAGTACCCAGCTAAGGGAAGGCCTACTCTTGCTCAGCTCGATGAGAATGGTGATTTCCAATATTACGTGGAACGCCTTGTGGCGCGGCGTGGACGCCAGGGTCGTACCCAGTACATTATGAAGTGGAAGGGCTACCCGCAATCACAGAACTCATGGACATGTGAGGCTGTAGTCCGGCAAGATTGCCCTGACGTCGTGGATGGTTACGACCGGGCACAACTTGTGCCGAAGCGCCACCCTATTGTGCGACATCGACGCCAGGCGGCGGGTGCCTTCCACTAGAGTGGGGAGCGAGCCGGTCAGTAGCTGAGCTTAGGCGCTGACCAGTGGCTGCAGCAGCCAGTTCGTACGTATGATCGGTGCTTGCAGCGGGGGCAGGAGGTGAAGAGACATCGTGGTGATGGGAACATGATCCCGAAGAAGGTGATTGGTGTTGTGCTGAACAAGGTTCGGGAACAAGCGTCCCAATTGACGCATAGTGGTTTCGTAACAACTTGCTCGATGAGCATGATTCAAGTGTGGATGCGCTGTAAGAGCGAAAGTGGTCTGACCCGGATGGGGATTGAACCACTGGCATTTAGCTTTCTAGACAGGAGCTCTACCATTGAGCTATAAGGGCGGTGCTCGTAAGTTTCTCCGTGTAAGGTCTACTTATTGTATGAGAGGGCTGTGCCCGAGTGGAATCGAACCACCGACCTGTGGTCAGTGATTCTTTAAGTCGAACGTCCTTCTCTGACACTAAGGCTACGGCATCCCCGCTGCAATAATTCACTTAATCAATTCTAACGACTTTCGTTGACTACAACTTCCAATCTTTCATATTTACTTGGCACAAATGTTATCCAATTCCAGAGCTTGCTCGGGCAAGCACGACTTTGTGTAGCTGCGGGTTGAATACTCTATCGATAACTGTGGGAATCTGACAAAAGTGGAGCGATTCCCACATCTCAGATTGCAAGTCAGAAAAGGCATGCACTGTCCGTACGTCTAGGAATCTTAACCGGACTGACCCTCGCCCAGACTCAGAATCTACCATCTCCCCTCCGTCCGGCATGAGCTAATTTACTGTTGGTATATGAAAAGCTAAGGTCGTGTTGGAGTTGAAAAAGTGATCTTGGTTAAAAATAGATATTTCATTTAACCCCTCTACTACGGCGGACGTTCCGGATTATCCTAAATTACTAATATATGAATTAACATATGCACGGAGAATCAGTACTATATATCCTGTTTGAAGCCCTTTCGCGTGACACGTGGACAAGGGAAGGCAGATCATTGGCTGATGCGAGAAGATGGGTAGAACAAAATACGTGCAAATAACTCTCTGTTGCGATCGCCCTGCAAATCCGTTGCACTTTCCAAGTACGACACGACAATGACCACCACTCAAGAATCACTTCACTCTCTCCCTACTCGCTTTCATCATCGTCGCTGTCATACACCTCGCGCCGACGTCGGTTCACGAAGCGAATCTTGTGCAACAACTCCAGCGGAATGGCCATCCCATTGCGTCAGCTCTGGTGCCAAATCTGGTTGCAGGTGAAAGCGCTGCCATGCTACAGCATGCGTGCCTTGTTGCACAAGGTAACGCACCCCTTTTTGACTTTGGTGCATGTCGGGCAGGAGTAACTCGTCTCAAAATTTCGAACTTCAGGACCTGCGTAAGGCGAGCATACCTTGAACAGCCACTGGTGCCGCTTCGCACCGTTCCTCTCGTCTGTTAGCTCCAGCGTATGCGCGCTGCGAGGTAGCGGTTCGGTGACGAGATCCGCTAGGTCGTCGTCTCCCGAAGGCCTCATTCGTTTGTCCCAGTAGCGCAATGTGCAACCGCCTCATGAACACTGCATGTGTTGGCACAGTCCTTCTGCGAGTGCGCATCGCAATCTTGTGCACAATAAACGCGTTTACCATCGCGATATCCACCAGCCCAAGAAGGACGGTTTTGTAGTACTTCACCATCCGGATGGCGCGCTGGATCGAGTACCTCTGCAAGCACAGCTGATCGTGCACGTCGACCCCTCTCATGGCATCGTGGTAATCACGTACAAGCTGGGGCAGGGGGCTTGCGAGATCGTACCATCGGGCTCTCGACGGGATACATGCGTTATTTTCGTCGAGCATCCCGTTGCCAGGAATCTCACGGCCTTGCTATTCATCCATGACAGCGCAACAAACTCAGGTCGATCTCTCCAAACCGCAATACGATGCAAACCGCGTGGCATCCGCTTTGGACGCTTCTTCTGCCCGAAGTCGTTTGCCTTGCACCATCCCTTACGGTCTTTGCGGATAGTATCGACGTGCAAGTGGCCCCATGCTGAGCAGTTTGTGCGACAGCGGTATCGAAGTGTAGAAGTTGTCGGTACAAACAAGCCGTCCTGCAGGTTGTCCTTCAAGAAACTTGGTAGGGTTCTGCACCACTGTCCGCTGAGCCAGAGAATCTTCTTTAGCGTCAGCTTTGCCGCAGTAGATGTCCAGCCTACACGAAACAGCACACATTGGTTAGTAATCGATTGAAAGCATTACGGCTCTTGCCGAACACATAACGGATCAACGGTATGATAAAATCACGGATATTCGTCATACGTGACGGATATCCGTGATAGCCACACTCAGTACCTGGCGCAATATGCGGTGTCGGCGCAGCACGTCAAGTAGAACTTCGTCCCCCACTTGTTCGGCTTGGCACGCATGTATTGCCGCATTGGATTCCGTCGGTGGCGCATTGGCTCCATTCCCTCATCGAATGAGATCTTAGCGCCGAGCCTATATCCACGAAACAACGTCTTCTGCAAAGCTTGAATTACAGAACGAATCTTGAGCGCTCGGTCATTGCTGGCACTCTGCAAGTTGTTGTCGTTGAAGTGCAGATATCTGGCAATGTCGTGGAATCTGTCACGACTCATAAACTGGCCGAAAGTTCCACGAGAGAGTGCACCTTCAGCTCTTGCAACCCAATGACGGCTAAGACTTTCTTGGCAAGGCTCCAACGCCCTTGCAACCAGCAGCCCGATGAAGCGAATGATCTCGTGGGGTTGGATAGTGCTCTTACGAGCCAGCTTTCTCCGGTACTCATCCAGTGTGAGCACTGGAGCTGACGGAACCGATTGTTGGTGATGCCGAGCGCGGGTACGCATATGCTGAGCCACGGCATCAATACTTTCTCGTCGATAGTTGCTGGTTTCCGCTGCGATCTTGTGCCAGAGCTCCTTGGGTAGGAAGAAGTAAAAATATCGCCAGGGGGTCTTCAGCATACGCAAGCGCGGCCCGTGTCGGGTCAGATGGACCATCGTAGAGAGGTGATGCCTCGTGTTGAGCGCGACCACGTCCCATTCGTCTTCCTGGAGGCGATCCAAATCCTCAGCTGTAAGATCGAACTCAACGGGGACCTCGTCGGATTCTACTCCTGCATCATCTCCACTTTCATCACCATCAGCAGATCCAAAGTCGTCATCGTCAACAGCGTCGTCCTCATCTTGCAGAATCGACTCTTCATCTCCTTCAGCATCGGAATCAAGCGACAGTAACCAGTCTCCATCACCAACGTTAAAATTGTCTTCACAGCCGACCTCAAAAAGCCTATCACGCCTCAGAGCAGCAAGGAAACCATCCCCGTCAAAGGCATCCAGAGTAACTCCACGTCGGCCTACATTTACCGCTCCAATCGGCGCCTCCGTTGCTGGCAATTCCAGATCAAGAGCAGCTTCTACCGGAATCTCCTGAACACCTTGCACAATACCATCCTGAACAGATGCGGGATGATTCGGAACCTCCTGAGCACTTTTCGCAGTATCATCCTGAACAGAGGCCGGGTAATTCGAAACCTCTTGAGCGGTTGTATCCGGATCAACTTCCGTAGTCTCCTGAATAGAACGACCTGTATAACCCGAATGATGTTCGTAGTATTGTTCGAGAATCCATCAGATGTCGAACGTACTGCTGCGACGCCTCTTGGGCTAGTGTTCGGTCCAGACGCCTTCCGCTTGGCTTCCGCTCGTGTTGGGGAGACAACAGCTTGCGGCACTTGGTCATCATCTTGCGAAGTAGCCTTTGCTGCACGCCTAGACTTTCGCGGAGTAGGCTTGGCTAGAGCAGCCAAGGCAACACGAGGTGATGATGACTCGACGGACTCAATAGGAGTAGACGAGGTAGTTTCAGGCACAGCAGCAGCCGGTGGGGCGACTTCAGGCGCAGCGGGAGTCGACGAGGTAGCCTCTGACGCAGCAGGGGTCGGGCGAGCTGTTCAGATGCAGCAGGGGGCTCCGTTTCAAACGCAAGTCAGCCTTTCTTCCGACAGTACCGCATCAAACTGTCGTTACCTGTACACAAAAGCATATAAGACCTTGTCTCTCAGCTTACAACTCACAGCTATGTACCGAGGAAGTAGTCAACACTCTCTGTTCCGGAAAAACTCCCTCCCGGCGGTACATATCTGCTGTCATTGCTTAGCCCCCGCGACGTGCGATACCTCCGGCCTTTCTTGGTGAGCTCCTTCCAGATCTGGGAGGTGGATTTCTCTGTCGCGATAGTGAAGGACGGCATGTCCAGAATGCAGGTCTCTTCTCCGGCGCAGATCTCGAAATGAAAGGCAGGGAGCTTCCCGTCGATTCTTATATCTGTAACCCTAAATCTTTCCCAAAATTTTCATGTCTCACCGTCCAGACTCGCTACAGTTGACCTGGTAAAATTTATCACATAACAATCTCTATATGCGGATTTTGACAGCGCCAGGCTTGTTGCGTACAAAGCGGAATACTTTCACTCCTGAAACTAAATTCCGATTATCCGTTATGGTCGGATTAGAAAGGTTAATCAGCCTAATATTAGCAGCTCAATCCAAAACTGCTACTTACCTTTGATGTACGTTTCTACCCGCCAATTTAGGATTTGAATGGCTGGGAATCGCCCGTTAAAATGTTTATTGGGAGGGCACGGTTTATGTTCATTAAGTTTGCACTATGCCGGAAATCAAAAGAAAAGGTGCAATAAATACCACAGCAGGTTGCTAGAGTTTGTATACCCCGGAATAGCTCCGTGATTCCATCCCGGGAGTGTATACACCATGCTGGATCAGGACAGGCCCATATGCAGTCTGATTACTCCCGCCTTCGGGGCAAGGAGAACGCATTGGCACAAAATTTGATGCTATCTTACAGCTTTGGTCGTCATCGCTCGCTTGCCAGCAACAACAAGAGCATAAATCGAATCTATCTTTGACAGCTTCCCGTTGCTTCTGTAGACGAGCGTAATTATCATTTTAGTGAGACTCAATGTCACTCGGATGATGTTCGGGGCCAACAGAAAGTTATTATGGATGAGGCTACCGTAAACCCTCCAGCAGAAGCTGTTCAGTACGTTTACAACGCCCATGGTTAATGGCATCGACGCTGCGGTCTTGGTTCGCACCACTTGAGTAATTGTGGCCATCGGTGAGTACATTAGCGTCGTGGAACCAACCATGATGAAAGCCAATACCGACTCGGTTAAGTGGTGCGAAAGTCCAGTAACGTCGCAGAGCACGAGAAACCCGTAGATTGTGACCGCCAGAGACACGACTGCGGAGACGATGAGGGTCTTCACTACCTCACGTCGGTTGGCAGCCCAGAGATAAAAAAAAATGCC